AAAAAAAAAAAAAGAATCTATAAAATGACATTGCCAGGATTTCAGTCTCCTTTATGTGTAATCGAAGCTTCCATAGCTTTTCTGGATTAATTTTTGAGTGTGGTTTCAATCTTGGGCCCATGGTATTCTCAAAGAACTAATGAAGTTCTTAATTTCCATTCTGTTTTTGCAAAAATATTACTTTTCCCAGTTTTATCCAGTAACTGACATCCTAGATGGCCTTTGTGAGACTAATGAACTCAATAGATTTATGCTTTTTTAAAAAACACAAACAGAATCAGTTAGCTGTATGCTTACGATAATAAACTTTTTCCAATACCAAAATATGGGCACAATCTTAGAGAGGATTTTCCCCTAATATACAATATAAGTGCATTTATGTGGTCAGACTTGCATAGGTTTAAAATCAATCGTAGTAGTCATTTTATATTTATTAAATGGCCAGAAATCCAGGCTGTGTGTTTGCTGCACAGGCCTTGTGTCCACAGGCCATGATGGAGACCCGTGGTGATATTCTAGCCCCTGCGATCCTTAGCACTCATTATTTAGTTATGCAGAGGTCTTTTACAAAAAGTCCAGCTTCTCTGTAGAACCGAAACTTGCAGATCAACAGCTTTGAAAGCACAGACCGTGTCTCTGAGGCTTGCTTGAGCTTTGGTTGTCAGCTTTTCTAATCTTGAGAAAATGTTAGTCATTGGAGGGTTTCACTTAATTGCTTCATTTTTTCAGTCTCTGCACAAGCCGGCCAGGATGGACCAACAAGAGCGAGCTCCCGGAGCTGCTGGGCGGCTTCACTGCACGAACAGCACCCCCTGGAGTTGTGAGCAGCAGGTGACTGTGAGTTTTTGGGGTGTTTTGACAACCGGTGAGGTGAATGGTGTGGAAGCAGCTAACCACTCCCAGCGTCTGCACCTCTGGTGGCAGTGGCCTGGCTAGAAGCCAGGACAGCCGTCTTTGGCCCTTCGCCTGCTCATGGCTACCCTGACCCCTTTGGGGAGAGCGCTGCATCCCCTCACTGTTTAGTACTCATGGCACATCCTGGCCGGCTGAGCACAGGACAGGACACGGGGGGCCCTGTGGTGGGTGGTGAGAGCAGGAGCCCACGAGAAAGGCAGACGCTATTTGACAATAACTGAGGAGACGAACAACTTTCATGATCTCAGGAGCATCAAGGCTTGGCTTTGTGCTCATGTTTCTATGTGATGACAGGGAGAGGACTCCTCAGAAATAAATGTGAAAGCAGTGTTTCTGTGGTTGAAAGCGCAAGTGGCCGCTCACTGTAAAACTGTATGCTGTGATGGAGGAACTCTTATCCATCACTCTATTGCATTTGAGATTGCATGCCAAAAAGTAAGGTGGTAATTGTGAACACGGATCTGTGAATTTAAAAAAATCATTAAGAAGAGCAAATAATCGTCAGTTAAGTAGTTAGGTGACCAGTTTAAGCTTTCAGTGATGTGAGATGAAACCAGTCACGTGACTGTCTTTTTTAATGCTGAGGTCGATGACAGTAGAAGGTGGTGAGGAAATCATCAAAAGTCAGAAAGGAAGGACCAGAGGGTAGTGAGATGAGCAGATGAGAATGGCTGACGTGCTTTTCGATTGGCTTTTCTTACTCACACGAGCCCAGGGGGGAAACCAAACCGCAGCTTCGATGGAGCCGTAAAGGGCTGCAGCGGGTGGGGGTAACGTCCCTGTCCTGAACAGACTGGTCTTAGCCACGTTTAAGGCTACTGGAGATGCTAATGGTTCAATCACTTCTAAGATAATAGAATTCCTTCCTACCTAGTTAATAGGCGCTGTTTCTCTGACAAATGCAAAGGAACTATTGGAGATGAAAATTTATTCGTTATATCTTTAAGGCACACCCGAACAGCATGAACCTTTACAAAGTGGAGCAGAGGCAAAGGGTGAGCACAGGGCCCCAGTGCTTCAAACTGCTTTTGATGATGAACTCACTTAATCCTCCCAGGCACCTCTGAGGGAGTGACGGCTCTTAGTCAGCGTCTCACAGGGGGTTCGGAAGGCGCCCCAGGTCAGCGGCAGGGCCAGGACCCAGAAGCAGATGGTCCGGCTCTCGCATCTGTCGGAGCCGCTGCCCTGTGCTGAGTTTCGGTGCGGCCAGGGCGGCAGACCGGGTCCTCCCTCTGTGCTCTGGGTAGTCACTTTTCTCTCAAAGCAGGACCACGTCCTCGACTTAGAAACAGCATTTGCAGCCAAAGGGACCACCTGGTGGACCTCTTCTTTTTCCCTCTCGACTCCCCCAGCGACGGCAGTGTCCTCGTCCATAGCCTGTCAGAGAGGTCACTGGCAAGCCCAGAGGGGGCTGAGGGCTCTGCTCTGTTTATTTTTGGTGGAGGGCGATGGTGGAAGGCAGGAGCCCCGGCTCCAGGAGGTGCTGGCCGCCTGGTCCTCTGTTTCCTTTTCCCCTTAGCTGTCTCTGCAGCCGGTGGGAGAGCAGGCATGCTCACCCCCCACTGCCCCGCCTCCTGCGAGAGGGGAAGGAGGGGGCTGGCCAGCAGGGGCCCTGGCTCTCCTGAGCGGTGGCCCTTCCTCCGCAGGCCTTCTGACGGCCTGGCTGGCGGCTGGCGAGCGGTCACCTTGGCAGCCCCGCCCCTGCCCTGCGCCCCCGTCCAGTCCCCGGCCTGGGGAGGCTGCTGTCCTGGTGTGTGTGGCCCGCTGCCCAAGCCCAGGCCCCTTCCTCCCGGCCTGCTTTGCCTCTTCCGCGCCAATGCCACACAACCCCATTCCAGCCCCCTTTCGCATTTTCTTCTTGAGGGATCAGTTAAGTGAGCCATTTGGCTAGATTGTAAATGGTACGATTTTAGGCACTAAGACATCTGAAATGATACTATATTGAATGCCACGCGCCAGGCAAATGTATTATCTCATTTAATGCTAATATCTACCCAGTACGGTGGGTACTATTATTATCTCCATTTTACAGATGAGAAGACTGAGGCACAGAGAAGCTCAGTGGCCTGAGTCCATGCGGCTAATAACTGGTGAACTTTAGAGCTTCACTCCCAGAATCTGCTGTGAAAGCCGCCAGAGCTAGTTCTGCCGTGAGCGCTCAGGGCGGCCCGTGGGCAGGTCCCCGGACAGTGTGCTGAGAACAAAGCCGGAGTGAGGACACTGCCCAATGCTGTGCGTATCAAAAAGGAGGAGCCCTCACTCTGGGAGGTAACCTATCATTTCGTTCAAGCCCCTCGGATCACAGACGAGGAAACAACCAAAGAGCTTTGGCTGATTTGGCAGGGCCTCCTACGACCTGTTCAGGGACCTTCACCCCTCCTTCCCAAGCTGTCATATAACTGGCCCCCAGGTCATGTGGGTCCTCAAAACATCTGTCGCAGTAATTGCCTTGTTCCTGCCCCCAGGGTTAACCGGTTCCCTCCTGACCTCACACTTGGCTGAGTTGATGGCTTTATCTGGCCTCCAGCCGCCATCTCTCCCTCCCGTCCTAACTTGCTCACATTCTCACAGTTGTCTGCTCACCTTCCTCAAAGGCTGCTTTCTATCCTGAGCACGAGGCTGGGGTGCCAAGGCCCGGGTTTGAATTCCAGTTCTACCACTCTGTCACTAAACAGATGCAGCCATTGTCATTAAACACGAAGCAGGTGGTAGGAGACCAGCCTCGTGGAGGCCAGGTCAGGACTGGGAGACCTGAGCAGCCCCCAGTGGAACCAGCAGCCTCTGCTCGGAGCACAGTCAGGGGTGGGGGGAGAGGGGCGCCTGGCGGGAGCGGGACGGTGTTGAGGCGGAAGGGACGCCCACGTCCACTGCCAGTTTCATGTCTCAGTGAAAACCTCTCCCCTCCCCGGAAATGGAAGCAGAATGAAACCACAGCCAGACCCAGGGTTACAGCAGGGCAGGCAGCCTGGGGTTAAGAGGGGACTCTGTCTATGAATGTGAAACCAGCCACACCCCCACAGTGTCAGGGTGCAGAGTGGGGGGTAAGGGAGCACAGTGTAGGGAATCGAGGACCAGTACCCCAAATTCAGACACCCACCAGCACCTTCGGGAGCCCCTGGGTCAGTGTGCCATCCGAATGACCCCACGTGGGCACCTCAACACACAGGAAGGACTGAGTTCATTGTGTCCTCAGGTGAGAAGGTAGGTTTACAGACGAGCCTGTGAGGATGGAGTATCAGTTGCTACATTCCAGGAATGGGCCAGATTACCAAAGATTTAAACCGTTTAGGGAAATGGGCAGAAACGGGGCTAATGAAATTCAGCCTCACAAAGCTGGAAGGCCCTGCGTTAAAGTTGAACCCATAATACATTTAAATGGAGGCTTAGTAGGTAGAATTGCTGAAAATAATGAGAGAGCCCAGCGAGATCATAATCCCAGCTAGCTGCAAACAGGGGGTTTCCTTGTGAGCAGAGAAGTAATGGTTCCCGTCTGCAAATGAGGTTCTCACATCTCTCAGAATCCTGGGTGCAGTCCTGGGCTTGTAGCTACCCAGAAAGTGAGCATTGTGTTTAAACAGAAAAAGGAGCAAGAGAAACAGCAGGAAACGTTGATCTGGGCTCAGGAACGTGCCAGACTATTTTTAAAAGGCATTTTCCACCCTCTTCCTGAGCTGAGGACAAAGAGCATCTTTAAACTTTGGCTCAGGTGTCGGCTGTTTCAGGTGGGGGTCCTCACAATTCTTTTCATGCTTTTGTCCTCACACCTTTGCTGATTTGGGACTTTTCTCTGTTGTGTCCTTTTGCGATAAGGCTTCTAAATTACAGGGAGAGAGCAGGGGAGGTGAGCTGAGAAAAAGGAAAGGCAGTCATTTGGAAGCTCGCATCAGTTGAGCCCCTCCGGGCCACTAAGAGCTCTGTGTGGACCAGGAGCTCCTGAAATCAGAAACAGCCTCAAACCACAGGCCCGACCAGGAGTGCGTGGCCAGAGCTGGGGAGCTGGGGAGCTCTGTCCCCTTTCGTCCAGCTAGATGTAGTTCTCAGGAGTGACTAAGTAAGTCTTGAACCCACATCCTAAGACCTGCTCGCTCCTATAATCGATGAGCGCGCGCCCAGCCTACACGGTCCAGTGTTGTGGCTGTGGGACCCTTAAGATGTGGCTGGTGCCCAAAGTGTAACATACACACCGAGTGTCTGGGAAAAGAACGTAAAACAGCTCAGTGATAATTTTTATGTTGATTTTGGATTGAAATGCTATTTCTGATATGTTCGTTAAATGAAATACATTGTTAAAATGAATTACGCTCTTCTTTTGGCTTTTTCTTAACGTGGCTACTGGAAGGTTTAAAAGCCACACGCAGCTTACATTATTCTATTGGAAAGCCCTGCCATGGGCTTGCAAATGGGACAGATTTCTAGGGGAGCAGCTTGCACTCCGCTTGTTAAATTTCAGGAGAGGGGAGCAGACTGATGAACTACAGATTTGCTTTCATGTTCTTTTCGCAGGAATAGCATCTCACACTGCTTGGGCCCAGTCGCCATCCATTGGAGTGGCTGTCTGGGGCCAATGAAAGGTCTGTGGTACAGAAATACAATTAAAGACGTTTAAGAAATGCAGCGGGGAGGGAGGTAAAGGACAACATGAACAAGGCTATTCTTTGGGCGTAACTTCCTGTGAATTAAATTAAACCCACAAAGTCAGATAAACCTAAAGCCTGGCTTGTGAAAACACCGTTTTCATCATTTATTCATGTGTCTTTGCCAGAGAAACAGAAATCGTTAATCCAAATACAACAGTGTGCTCACTGCTGTGCCCCAGACCATTGCATCTGGGGGTGGGGGTGGGGGGAAGCAGAACTGTGATGGTAGATTCCTCTTTTTCCTGAGTGAGTCAGAGGATAGGCTGTGATTAAGCCTCACGCAGACGGGGGAGGGCATGTGGACGGGCAGAACCCTGCACAACTCCACAGGCTGGGGGAACCCTGCCTCTGCTCCCCTCTGGACACGCGGTGAGGATGTGGGCTCTGGCGACACCGGTGGCCCCCCACCGGCAGCAGCCCTTTTGAAGACACAAATATCAGAAGCCATCCCTTGGCACAGTCTTTTTATGCTGTTTTCCAAATGAGAAAACTGATTTATAAGAACACACACACTACTCGTATTGACATTTCCCAATAAAAAAACAAAATTCTCTACTATTTGGGGGCAAATGTGGGTAGTGGAGTGAGTTGTACACATTCTATGTCCTTACTTAGACCTCCTAGTACCCCTTTTATTATCCTGAGAAAGATGAATCACTAGAAACTCTTTTATTCTCCATTTTAGGAAAACAGCTACAATTCTACTTGGGAGAGTCAGCAATGTTTTCAACAGGGTGCCAGAGATAACCTTGGGGCATGTTGGCAAAGCCCAGTGGGAAGAAGACACCTCGTTGAAGGTCACATTTAGCCTTTAAAAAAAAAAAATTGTTCATCCTAGGTAAACCCTAGAGCTTCATTTATGTAAAAGTAGGTTACCCAGTAGGTGTTGGGGCTGACAATGGTTTTTAAATCTTATTAATCATCGCTGGAATGAAACCAGCATGATTCAAAGAGAAAAGAGCGTCTGGAACATTTATTAATCCCCGAGCCCTTTTCTATCTGTACTGAAAGATTGCTGGCTGAATGTAATTGTTTCTTTTTAAATGACTGGCAGTGCTGCTAAGTGTATTTACGTTGTCACTGAGTGATCACAACTGCATTCATAAAGATTTCAGACCAGATCAAAAAGTACAAGCCTATTGCAGTGCATGCTCCCAAGACTCGTGGTCTAACATGTACTAGGATTTAGAAAGAAAATGCAAAACCCAACAAATTGAAAATTCCTTTGTGTTTAACTCTTGTGCTTATCATAAAGTCACAGAAATTTGAGAACCAGAAAGGGTCTTTGTAAACACAGGTGTGGGAGCACAGGCAAGGATGCCCAGTCGCCTGAGTTCTGAACTTGCCTCTGAGACGTAATAGACGGGTAACATCAAGCAAGTTATTCAACTTCCTGGAGACTCAGCCTCCCTCCTGTGTGAAAGAGCCGTAAGCACAGTAGCCAGTCACAGGGTTCTGGGAGTTACGAGTAAACAGCTAATGTATGTATGTTGCACAAAGAAGGGACTCGATACTTGCTAGCTGTGGATCCCTAGTCCAGTAATTGTGGTTCACAGGTGAAGGAGCTGCAATGAAGAGACTTGTCTGGTCCCACCACTAAGTGGTGACAGAGCCACAGCTGGAGCTCAGGGGCTGTGCTCGCATCACTTCCCCCTTCGCCTCGACTTCTGCTTTATCCTTTGGACTTTCAAATACTGATTTCCACAGTCTTAGTACACAGTTGTTATGGACCCACGTCCAGGCCAACACAAACACCTACAGACCAGGAAAACACAGCCCATATTTTAATAACTTAAAAATTACGAAATTGACCAAACTGTAATAAGTTTGTATCCCAGGAGACCAGGAACTGGCTGAGTGAATCATTTTCCTTTAAACCTTAACCTCATGTACAAGGCTTCAAACGGGCTTGCTTGACGTCCGAACCTTGTCTGCCTGTTTTCTTTCAGGTTGTCTCCCTCTGGTGGATTAAAAAAATATACTGGCTGCCATTTCCAGAATAACGGGATTATCTGGGATAGGTTTTGCTCATGTGCTGTCGGCCTGGTACATGCTGTGGAGCTTCTAGAAAACCATCTTGCCTGTGAGGAGGCTCCGATTCACCCGGGCAGAAGCAGGCTGAGGGCCTCTGCTCCCTGACGCCTGTGTGAGCACCAAGGTGTATTCAGAGAACTACAAGTGGCTTGAGATGGCTGAGGAGAAAGCACAAGAGCTTAGGGGCGAAAGGCTGTGGCAAGGGATGAAGTAGAAAAGTTAGCCGGGACCACAGTACAGGAGACCCCTGTCATCAGGGATCCAGGCTCCTTCTAATTGCTATTCCTCCATCCCTAGGGTGTGGCCTTTATCCTCATGGTCCAGAATGGCTGCCTGAGCTCCAGCCATCATATGCATTTATCCAATTGGACACCTATCTACCGGCACTTCAAACGCAGTTTTCCCAGAAAATACACTGACTTTTACCCCCACAGCCAGTTCTCCCCTTCGGTTCTCTAGCTCCCCATTTCCCTGGAAGAAAGAAACTGAGCAGGTGGCATAGGGGATGGAGCTGAGGAGAGAGGGAATTCAGAAAACAATGCAAGAGCTGTTTAAAATGCAGTGCTGACCTGTCATGCTAAAGGCTGCAGACAGATCGAGTCCTACGAGGTCTGAAGGTCGGCCCGTTAGAGCTGCCAATAGGTTACTGGTGACTTCGGCGAGGGGGTGTATCTGCAATGGTTTGGAGAGCAGGCCCATTTGATGTGGAAGTGCATGGGCTAGAATTGCACCTCTTACTATTTTGATAACGGTAATGGTGGGGGTAGCAGTGAGGTGGCATTGAACTGAGAAGTGAGGGGCGGGGTAAGGAGTAGAGCAAGTCCCACGAGAGGTGTGTCCTGTGCTTGTCCCTCTTGTGGCCGACCCAGCCACTTCCCTCGAGGTTAGGCTCCATAGGAAAGAGCTGAGGACCTCTCTGCTGTGCTCCTGGTAAAAGTCCCACTGCTTTTACCCTATTTGCACCTTTTTTTCTCCTTTTTCAGCTCCATTGCTGTGTTTACTGGAAATCTGACTGTTTGGGGTCTTTATGGCCCCTGCTTTCCCCTCATTTTTGTCAAGTCTCAACTTCTCAGCATGTTCTCGAGGACACGGTCTGTGTGCTCCCTCTGGCTTCTCCCTCTGGCCTCCACCACTTTCAGCTGCTCAGGCCCACAGCCCTGACAGAGGTGGCCTCTCAGCCCTGCACCTGCTGAGCCCTCTCTGAGAGAGCCTGGACTAAAGAGGGGTGGAGAGAGAAAACAGGAGCCAGAGGCAACACGAGGGGTGGGGTGGGGCATCAGCGTTTTTTTCAGATGGCAGAGATGGTGAAGATGGAGGGACGACGGCCACTTTGATGTAGGAGGCCCCTGGGAAGATGGACAAGCTGCATCCAGGATACCGTGTGGGACTGGCCCTAAGAGGCACACCTGTTCCTCTGAGGCCAGCGCGAAACGAAGGATTCGATAAAGGTGAGTTTGCAGCTCGTGGTGAATGAGATTGGAAACTAAGAAAAAAAATGCCATGGACGGGGTTGTCTTAGTTGAGTGAAGATGCGGTTGGTTCTGATGTATTTCACATTGATGGGGTCTTAGGTCTCATGCAATGTGCTTGCATTTTCATATACATTATCTATTGTAATTTTCACACATATTTAAATTAATCGTATATAGTTAAAACTTCAATTATATAGAGTAATGAGTCATAGTTTCAAATCATCTCACATGTATGATCTAATTTGATTTTTCTACCCATCGTTGACATGTTATCTCCTCATTTCACAGGTAAGGAAGCCACGGCTCAGAGAGGTAAAGCAATTGAGTGACAAGCCGGGTTGATGACTTTAGCCCCTCAGAGGAAGTATTTATTACTTTAATGAGTCGAATGTGAAAATGTTGGGCATTTTAAACAGCTGCTGTATTGGCAGTGAACAAAGCACGCCCTCCGCCCGAGTGCCACATGGGGCTCTGCTGCTGCCAGCTGCTGCTGGGTGCTGGCGAGGGTGCCACAGTCCCTAAGCCAGGCGATGCTAGCCGGGCTCAGAGGGACTGGGGCTTGACATGAGCTGAGGTTTACCCTATAAACCTCGGGCTGGCTGCACCTGCATTTTCTAGATTCCTTTTTCTTGTCTGCTTTCAAAAAACATAACAAGATCTGAAGTTCTAAAAAAAAGAAAAAAATAATCAAACCGGAGCAAAAGGAGATGAGCGTGCTGCTCCCCCTAACAGAGTTTTTCACTGCTCTCTCCTGATTTTTAACAGGGTGAGTCCATTGCAAAAAGACTCACTTTCATCTTGCGGTTATTTCTAGGGATTAAATCATAATCCCCATCCTTCATAAAATGTGTCACTATAACAGAGAGCCCATAACATGTACGACCCCAGTTCCTCAGCACTGGCCTCAAATAGGGCCTTTCAGTGTTTTGCAGAGTTCTCTGCAGTGACATTTGCACGATTTAGTAGCTGACATTTGAGC